ACGAGAGCCATGTTCTGCAAAGGACCTGCTACATGATGATGATCGAGCTTCGCTAGCTGTATACAACCATGAGGGAAGCCCAAAGGCATACAAGACTCCCTTGGCCAGTGCCTCTCAATCTTCCTAATGCTGCGAAACTTTAATACAGTTCCCAAATGTTGTGGCGATAACAAACAATTATTTCCCTTCATAACATTAATGAATATGTGTTTTCCAACGGTCCTAATCGACCCATAAGAAACGGCCGTTGGACCCAAACACGCAAACACGCTATTAACCAAATACACAAGGTTAGTTGCGTATCCTTTACAGGACGTTGCAGAACCAACACCAACAGCCCCTGGCCGTTGTGTGGTTTTTCTAGGCAAATTTGCAATTGCTTTCTGGACGGTTGGCTTTCTTGATACCACTGTCGAAACCAACGCAACTCGCATGGCCCGCAGCTGGGATCGAACCCGACTAACCAAATACAGATATATAAAAATCATAACACAAATAATATACATATATTAAACAGAATACAATCATGATGTGGGAGCCGCCAAGGTGAAGCGGCCGGATGGTTGCCGGCGGGTCTGAAGGTAGTGAGTTCGAGCCCTTGGGGAGTCAACATTATTTTCAAAATGACCTTAGGTCCCAGGTCTATCCATCCTTAAGTTGGAACCAGGCACAACCATGAGAAGTAAAGGCGGCTGGCGTGATGCTGACAACATCACCCACCAAGTGACCCACCAAGTGACCCACCAAGTGTCTATTGGTCTATAAAATATATGTCTACCTCTATATGCCCATTAGGCCTGAAGGTGTGAGAAAGGTTCATTTTCTACATTTACAGGCTTGAAGTAGAGATCATAAGAAACATGTACATACATAGAAATTTATTACCCATACATAAAAATAAAATATATATAATATCATGACGACTGGAAAGATCACTGGCAGAAGAGGCAGAGGCAGACTAAGAGAACGATGATGGATGGCTTAAGACAGTGAAATGGAGGAATATCATCAGTGGAATTGATCCAGAACACCAAAGACCGAGATCTGGAGAGATGCATGACATTTAAGCCAGCTGGCAGGGCACTTAATGATGATGATGCTGATGATATATAAACATGATACATATGTGTATACGAAATCTTATTTATCCCAGAGACATGACATAAAAGGAAAACGAACCTGACAATGTGCACAGCGCTCCTAAACGCTGTCGGAGCGGACAGAACAACACATTCTTTAAACCCTAAGCAGATTTTACCTGAAATTTTATACCAAAGATTTTACCTTCATCGTCATCGTCATCATCATCATAATCATCATTTTGAGCATAAATGAGCAAGTTTTTCTCCCTCTCCCCAGTGCAGACCTGAAAGTGTGCCTCTAAACCAAATCTACAACCCACCCCCCTCCCCCCACACGCATCCAACCCCTTTTCCACACGAAAAATAAAATCAGATTTTCTATTACTAAATAATTAATTAATGAACTAAACCATTTTAATAACAGAAGTAAAGATAGACATATGTTTGTTTTAGTATCCAAAAGCCATGAGTTGTTAACCCTTACTCGGTATTATGGATATCGCAACCTTTCGGCCTTGATTCCATTGTAAATACCGTAAATCTGGGAGAAAATGTGGCTTTCCTGCCTACCCCCGGGATTGAAGCCGGACCACAAGGAGTTCGTCACCCGTTCTCCGCGCAATCCGGTTTAGCCAACTACGCTAGAGAGCCGGGCAAGATAGACATATAAACTGTACAAGTCATTATAATAAGTAAATCTTCTTTTTTTGTTTTCGGTCTTCTGAGTGAAGTAATTGTCTTTTGTGTCTTTTTTTACAGCATAGCTGCGATATTTGCGTCTTTTGGCCGAAACATCCGATTTCATCGGGCATTTCTTGGACAGGTCAGCCTTCCGGGATAATGAATAAATAAAAACATGCTGCGATGACAACGCCCATCAACAGTTTCCAGGCCTCTGCAACGATAACGTCATCGGTCTCGAGGTGTAACTATAAGTATATTGTAACTATAAGTGTATTGTTGACTAACTATAAGTGTATTGTAACTATAACAGTAATGTAACTATAACAGTAATGTAACTATAACAGTAATGTAACTATAAGTGTATTGTAACTATAACAGTAATGTAACTATAAGTGTAATGTAACTATAACAGTAATGTAACTATAAGTGTATTGTTGACTAACTATAAATGAATTGTAACTATAAGTGTAATGTAACTATAACAGTAATGTAACTATAACAGTAATGTAACTATAAGTGTATTGTAACTATAATAGTAATGTAACTATAAGTGTAATGTAACTATAACAGTAATGTAACTATAAGTGTATTGTTGACTAACTATAAATGAATTGTAACTATAAGTGTAATGTAACTATAACAGTAATGTAACTATAACAGTAATGTAACTAAAGTGTATTGTAACTATAACAGTAATGTAACTATAAGTGTAATGTAACTATAACAGTAATGTAACTATAAGTGTATTGTTGACTAACTATAAATGAATTGTAACTATAAGTGTAATGTAACTATAACAGTAATGTAACTATAACAGTAATGTAACTATAAGTGTATTGTAACTATAACAGTAATGTAACTATAAGTGTAATGTAACTATAACAGTAATGTAACTATAAGTGTATTGTTGACTAACTATAAATGAATTGTAACTATAAGTGTAATGTAACTATAACAGTAATGTAACTATAACAGTAATGTAACTATAAGTGTATTGTAACTATAAGTGTATGTTTTACACGACAACTGGGACGACAGGGGCGCACAGGATTATCCTGGTGATGAGTTTTGAACAACGGATCAACATCGTGGCACACGGGTAGTAATCCCTAGGTGCTCCGTTCTTTCTTCTAAGACGAGTCCGAAGAAGCTCAGCACAGTGCACAGTGCTGTAGCACCGGCGAGGATCCTGGAATACTTTTTGTGTGCCCGGGCAGCACCGTTAGGCTACTCTTTTCGATTTCCAATTGCCAATGAATTTTTTTTTCCGTGTGCCACAATGCACACGGTTGTCCGATCTCACTACCCAGAGATCAGGGGGAATTACTAGTTGTTCAAGTCCACGTGAGAAAATCCCAGGACTTACTGGGGATTGAACCCGTAACCTCTAGCACTCGAGGCGGACACCATGCCTCCCCTGTCCTGGTGAAAACGGGTCATAAGAGAAAGAGAAAGGAATACAAATAGACGAAACATGATAACAAAGCGAGGTGTAACAAGGAAAGACGGAGATCTTTCCTCCCCTGATGCCACGAGGCATTCCAGGAGTAGAGAAAAGAAGGAAAAGAGGAAGACAACATTGAACTTGACAGCTTGGTGCGTTTTAAACATGTGATTTAAGATTTCAACATAATAGTTGTCTGTTAAGGCAACACATGAAATCATAAAGTTAAAAATAATCTGAATTAAATAAATCATTACAAATTGACGATATATGTGAATGGCAGTTGTACACTTTCTTATGTGTCGCGTTGTTTCTTCTTTATTTTTTTTTTTTTTTGCTCGCCCTTAAATCGATGGTTGCCACGTTTTGTTGTGGTTTATAGCCAGGCTGCAATATCAGAGCCTCCCTCCCCCAACACATCCAATTTCAGAAAACCGTCAACTAATCGCCATGAACGACATGAATGTTAGGGTTGGGGCCGTGGGTCTATTCCAAAACGGAACAGGCAACTCACGCGAGACGAGACAGATTGTTCTACGACTGCCAGCTTCTTTCTTCTTCTTCATTCGTCGTCTCACTGATATCAGGTTGTAGCCCAGTGCTGTGGTTTTCTGTATTTGTCTTGCGCTTCTCGCGTTGCTTGGGTGATGAACTTGTTCATCTTCATGCAGGTTTTGGCTACACCATTTATCCGTCTCTTTCTTGGTCAACTTCAGCTAGGTGATTGGCGTGTGTGTGTTGTTTTCCTCTTAATTTGATTTGCCCAAAGGCAGTCAGGCCGGTTCAGCGGAAAGGTTCTACTGGGGTCTCCAACGGTCACAAAGTATCATAAATTAAATGACCCTTTGCGCGCCTTCGGGAGTACTTGGTATATAAGGCTAGACGTATATTTATTAGACCAATCGGCACTTGGTGAGTGATGTGGTCAGCATCACGATGGCCGTCTTTACTTCCCAACCAGTACACATTCTAGGGTGGTCGACCTGCTGGGAGCCAATGTCAATTTTATAAAATAAAGTCCAGCACGGTCGGGACACGAACTCACGACCTCCAGACCCGCAAGCGAGCATCTAGTCGCTACACTTCGGCAGCTCCTTGGTTACAGAGTAACCTGAAGTAGAAATCAATAATCAACACGCTGGAATGAGGCTCAATTGGTCACAGAACCGTACCGGCCACACAGTAAATAAATAATCGCGCCCCTTACTCTGGTCTGACCCGGACTTATTTTCAAAATGACTTTGGTTCACAGGTCGACCCAACCTTAAATGGGTACCAGGTCCAGGCCTAGGAAGTAAAGGCGACCTTTGTTATGTTAACTAAGTCACCTTCCAAGAGCTGATTGGTTTATACAATATAGGTCTAACCCTATATGCCCAATTCACATGATGTCGTAAAAAAGGGTCCTTTAGTACCCGTCTACAACTACAAAGTTTGATTAAAATCGAGAAGATCTAGTTCACTGCACATAGTTTTATCCCAGTTTGCAGGCTTTCACGACAGAACAGCTAACAGTCTGCCGAGACTGCCGCACACAGCCAGCACGAATGCCTTAGCCTCAAGCGACGACCCTTAGGGGTCTCCATAAAAACTGCACTCGTAAATCGAGGTTTGGGAAATTCGTCAAGGAAACCACCAGATAAATAAATAATGTATTAGCAAGCCAGCGCCGGGATCACTATAGTTCCAACTAAAGTGAAAACAAATGTAAATACAAATACAGGCACATTATTTTGTCATGCATGTCTCAGACAAATCGCGAATACCCCATAGTCAGCTTAGATAAACACCTACAGTTCATTCTCCAAGTCATTATTGTTGCTAAATGAATCAGCCTTATCCTCTCTCAGGACGTAACCATTTTCTTCGTGGTCATGCTTGCAGTTTCTAGCGTAACTACAATACAGATTGATAAATGTCTGTCTAAACTTGGCACTCATTGAACAGTACAGCACAAAATTAATGGCGTTGTTGACGAGGGCACCAATATCCATGACGTCGCCCAGTGGCATATACACAGACAGGAAAAAGCCTGCTTTGCAGGCACTTAGAATAATTAAGATTCCCTGAGGGAGTTCTGTTATGAGAAAGAGTACAATGACGGTTACAAGCATCATGGTTGTTCGGGAATGTTCGAGGAGTTTGTTGTTGTTTGATACTGAGACTTTGAGGAAGTCTTTCCGTTGGTTGATCTTTGATCGCATTTGGTGAAGCAACAGGGATCCGAAGACTGAGATCAGGAAGCAAGGTACGATTTTGGCTAGAATGGCGTACATCCAGACGTTGGTTAGGACTAAAGGGTTTGTATCGTTGCTCCCCAAGCGGAGGTTTTCCAGAACGTAGATGGTTTTGTTCGCTCGTGGGTCTTCACTCCAAACTTGTTGTTTCAGCTCATTTGTTAAGTAGTTAGGAATCATCACTAGGATTGAGATGATGTAGGTTCCGATGACCATGTACTTGGCTTGGGTGATCCGTTTGATACGGACTGAGATGACCCTGGTCGGTGAACGTATGTGGTGGTAGCGAACTATAGCCAGGACAACGCAGAGCCATATACTAATAGTGTGAGTGACCAGTGTGAGGTTGATGTGAAAGACGAAGAACGTCATCCACAGCTTGGAGTTTTTCTCTGGCGATGACATGTTGCTGGGGTACACACAGTAGAAGTGTATAGAGAAGGGTAGGTAGCTCAGCATGGTGATGATGTCCGACACGGCCAGGCCTGTAAGGATCAGGTTGACAGGCGTGCGCATGTGCTGGCGGGTGAGCACTGTCACGTTGAAGGTGTTAGTGACAATCCCACCCAGACACACACACAGGGACACGTACCCGTGATACTGGGCGTACCAGTCTGAGAAGCTACTGAGGTCATCATTGGTCATCGACTTGTTGGACATGGTCATCCCGTCTTGGGACAAACATCGCACATTTTTCTCCAGGTACCTGAGAAAGGCACAACAGATAATCATGTAATACAAACAATTTGTTAAAGCTAGTTACATCATGTTGTGTTTCAGCTGCCGTATCTGCACCTTTACTGGGTGTGAAGTCGGAGTTGTGAAGTTGGAGATAGGAAGTTGGAGTTGTTAAGTAGGAGATGTAAAGTTAGAGATGTGAGGTTGAATATGGGACGTTGGAGTTTTGAAGGAGGAGATGTGAAGTGAGAGATTTGAGGTTGGATATGGGAAGTTGGAGATGTTAAGTAGGAGATGTAAAGTTAGAGATGTGAGGTTGGATATGGGAAGTTGGAGATGTTAAGTAGGAGATGTAAAGTTAGAGATGTGAGGTTGAATATGGGACGTTGGAGTTTTGAAGTAGGAGATGTGAAGTTAGAGATGTGAGGTTGGATATGGGAAGTTGGAGATGTTAAGTAGGAGATGGGAAGTTGAAGGTATGATATTGCAGGTGTGAAGCTGACCTCGACGCTCAGGTCTAGCCAATCTAATGCGGGTGCCATGCAGTCATTGGATGTAAAGGCGGTCGGCTAAAAAATACGAGTGTGGCATCATAGGCAGGATACCAGCCAGAAATATTCAGTAAGACATACAAATAAATTTTATAGTAAGGGGACATAGCTGTCTTTGCGTGAGATTCAAATATTAAAGCTCATTGAGACAGACATGTTAGGCGTGTGATGAGATAAAAACAATCATTTGTGACAAAAACAGAAATTAGTTAATGACTAGGTATAACTACTCGTTTGGAGAGGTAGAAAATGTTAACAGGTAAATGGTGCAATATGAGACATTCGGGGGAAACAAAATCGAATCCTCGACAACTGCGCATGTTATAGGATTTTGAAAAAAAGTCTGCGTCAGACCAGTATATTATAAAATACACACCAGACAGAAATATATCGTATATTTTCCTTTGTTTTTTCTTGTTTGTCTAATTTCGGCTTTTAGTCTCTGTTCACTTTGTTTTATTCCCTTTATAGTGGCAAACTATTTGATCTTCTGTCTATTTATCTTCTTGTCACTGCTGTCAACTATCACAGCCTTTTCGTTTTGTGGTGATCTCTGGATGAGAGAAACTAAAAGAGTTCAAGTGAACTTTATCTAGGTAAATTAAACAATTTTTTTCAGCAGAGCTGAGCGGAAGAATATACTAATGGTAGTGGTAATGTTAGTTTGAGCTTTATAGCAAACTGGTCACCCCATAGTTACTCCCCTCCTGTGCCAAAGAAAAACACACATAATGTTCATCGCAGTCCCTTGTGGAGAATTTGACAGATTGCTGTCTCAGCATATGCACTAGCATACACACGCATCAAAAGCATACGCTAGCTATCAGAAGAGCTAACACAAACAGTCCGGCATAAGAAATGCAGTTTATAATCGACGGTAGCAGAGGTAACCGATAAATCAGCAGTTTCACACTCGATCAATTATAATCACATAAGAGCACCACCAATATTGCGGCGACAGGCTACGTGCCATTTTCTGAATCTACAATTCACAACACCACGTTGTTCACAGTCGAAAAACATTCCAAAAGAAATCCGCAGCTCACAGAGTCGCACCATGCACTCAACTCATTAGCTGGGCGACGAAACAATATCCTTTCAGTCTACAATAGAGCAAAAAATGCAACGGCCACCGTCTGGCAGAAGCACAAACTTTGCCACCACTTAAAACAGTGACCGTGCCTAACGTCCATTTTGACCAGAAAATTATACTGCGAGCCTTTTGCGATGTTGCAGGACTTCATTTTTTTTCCACAAAAGACCTTGGCTCCACGGTCGACCCACACTTAGCTGGGTAGAAGGTAAAGTAATAGAAAGAAAAGGCAGCCGGTGTAATAACATCACTAATCGAGTGTCGACTGTTCTATAAAATATAGGTCTAGTCCTTTATGTCCAAAACACCTTAAGGCTTTGAAAAAGTTTCCTTTTTAGTGTCAGCATCTCAGTAGGCAACACACCACTGTGCAACCGTGACGTCTACATAAGAATACATGACAGGGAACCGATGTAGTATAGTTGATATTTTTAGTATCCAGAAGTCATGAGTTGTTAACCCTTAGGTTCGGTATTATGGATATCGCAACCTTTCAGCCTTGATTCCATGATAAATACAGTAAATCTGGGAGAAATGTGGCTTTTCTGCGTACCCCCGGGCGTGAACCCGGACTACAAGGAGTTCGTCACCCGGTCACAGCGCAATTCGGTTTAGCCAATTACGCTAGCTAGCCGGGCTAGTATAGTTGATTGACGCTCACCTTCGCTCCCGAAGGTAATGGGTTCCAATGCGCATAAAAAACAACCGTCTGATGTTTGTTAATAAAAATATCAATACAGTTCAAGGTAATCCCCGCAATGTGCAAAACATCATTAGAATGAAAATAGCAGGTTCTGACCAGAAAGGAAACTTGTAATTGAGCATAATCAGAGCCCACCAGAGACAGAAATAACTCGGTTTTATGAAAGCTACATTACATAATTGGAACGACCTTGGATAACCGCGCGCAGGGCAGAGCAAAAGCCAAAGAGAAGAATGTGGATTATTTCAATAATGACTTCTTGTTAAAGAGATGGGGTAGTAAAAGACTCTCACGAAAAGCATGTGGGTCACCACTGCCGAACTGAAGTTTCACGTACAAACAAGTTCTGTTACAGGTGTATGTGTGTGTGTGTATGTGTGTGTATATCGAGTGCTCATAAAATTATTTCTGCCATTTTTTCTTAGGGGGCAAAGGCTCCCCTCCTCCTCGTTGCATAGAAATTAAAGACTTTATTATTATTCACTTAAACAAGGTTAAAACTCTTAGAGGGCCCTACCACATTTGTTGGAGGACTGCACCCCGTCAGTATTTTCTCTGTATCCGCATCTCTACCCCATTATTCCTGCTGTCTATGGGCTACCTTAATCATATAACCATGTTGCCTTGATTCGAATACTTGTCGTTGTTGGTTAGTTAGTTTGTTTGTTGGTTTTTTACTCTTTTTTTGGACGGGGGGGGGGGGGGGGGGGGTTAATACTTTAAGAGAAAAGATACATAGCTCCCTGCTTGCGTTGTACTCATTTACCCCTTTCAGTCATAACTTTAACTCTCTTTGTTAATCTTCTGATAATCCTAAAAGTACAAATCCGTCAGATCTCGGATCCCGTCTTCAGCTTCCATCTTCCCTTAGTGTGTGGCGACAAATACTGGGTCGGTGTTGTTGTTCTGTTCTCCTTTGGCTACCTGTGTAGTGTTTATGACTATTCATTAACTGCACACACGTTGAACCGTCGCTGTAAAATAGATGCATTTGCGCCAGGTACATTCTGAACAAAGGTAAAGGTAAAGTCGGGAAATGTGAACCATCGTCACTGCACACGGTAATAAACCATAAGTGCTCTGCCACCAGTACGGACAGCTGATAAGAATTGTCCGCCTGTGTCGCTGTCCGCACGTAACTCTGTAGCTACAGCGACGTTCCACCATTTACCCTATAGTATCACTCTGGTACCCATTTCCTAGAGGCTGGGTGAACCCCGGGAACCGCCCGGTTTCGAACACCGACCGTGGGCTGCAGCGAGTCGCAGCTGGATTTGAAAGCGAGCCTCTTATTGACTGCGCTAACGCGGACATCCTGAACAATCAAGGCTAGATACTGGGAAGTGCTTGTTTTAACTAATAAAGATTGGGTCATGAAGGAGTTAAAATAATACCATTTGTTGGAAGTTAAAATGTAGCAGTTGGGACAGAGTGAGTTAATGTAACAGGTAGATGGGGTACACGATGTAGATAAGTGTTAAATATGTCAGCTGAAACTAACAAACGCATGGTGAGCTGCTACCAAAAAGGATACATGCTTGCTTTGTTTAGAATTGTAAGTTCAAAAGGATTGAATTAATTACACTAGGATGATCATATAGGTTTTTTTTAAAGAGAAGCTTGAAAAGGAGGGGAGTAGGAAGGAATATATCTATTGCTGACAATTTTTTTTTTTTTTTTTGCGTATCTTTTACAGGACGTTGCAAAACCGAACCCATAATATATTTAGCTGTTTTGGTTTTCTAGGCAGATTTTACGTTCAGTCAGATATCGTACCGCTGTTGAAATCCAGAACAAGACAAAACCTTCCCATACGGAATTGAACCCGGCACCGCGGAAATACGAAGCTCGTTTGCGATGCCTAAGCCACTAACGCCAACTTTACTTATCTTGCCTAACAAGCATGTCGTAAAACGAGACTTAACAAGCTGAAATAGGATGAGCAGAGCCCAAAAGCGCAGATATCACAGCCTGGCTGTAAATATAAAAACTAAAAACAAATGCAGAAGAAAATTATCACTTTTCTCCCGCCTTGTTAGATGTAGATGTCATTGAAAAAAGAGACATTCCACGTTACTGGTGAATCCGTTGTTAGGCCAAATTTTTTACAGATGCAAATTAAAAGGCTTACAGGAACCAAGACAGACCTGCAAACCGGTGCTGCAGAAGAAAATTATCACCAACCATGACACTTAGCTTTTCTCACCGCCTTCGCTATTTAGATGTAGATGTCATGCCTGAAAAAATAGAATGTTCCACGTTACAGTGGTGAATCCGTTCTCAAGAGCAACCAATCATTTTTTTACAGATGCATTATCAGACTGAATCAAGGCTTACTTGGAACATCCTGAGATTTCACTGATATTGGATACAGACAGACCTGCAAACACTTGGTGTCGCCAGCTGCAAAGAGAAGGCCAACCAGAGATGAATAGAGGCGGATGATATTCACAGCAGTAAACCACAAGGGCTGGGAATGATGAAGAAGTGCTGTTTCTTCTCAGAATGTGTCCAATACAGTGCTGTTACATCTCTGGATTGGAAGAAATGTGTCCATAGCACTGTATTGGATGCATCCTGAGAAGAAACAGTACTGTATTGGACACATCCCAGAAGATCACAGTACTGTATTGGACACATCCTGAGAAGAAACAGCACTGTATTGGACACATCCTGAGAAGAAACAGCACTGTATTGGATACATTCT